GGGAGGGGGGGAGAAATTGAAAATAGAGATTGTAAGATCTTGTCATTCAAGAAATGCTAAATCTGTAATGGTGAGAAAGTCTAGGTTAAGGTAAGTATCAACAACGTTGCTGAAATGTAGTTACGCCTACTGCTAGTTTAATGATCTTACGCCAATGGCGTAAGAATATTCTTTTGCTGTCTAGTCAAATACAGGCAAAGTAGGTTTCAGAAACAAAGTTAGTAATTTCAGTACACTGAATGGTATCTACAGTCCTTAGGACTAATACTGTAAAAAAAAAAAAAATCAGTGACATTTTCAAGAAAAAACATGAAAAGGCTTCTGATCTCAAAGTGACATTTTTTGCAGAATTTTTGTCAATTATGGTTGAGTTACTATTTAAAATTGTAGCTTAGAATTGTGATCCAAAATGTGTCTAAGCTGTGTATCTTCCTATATTGTAGATGTCTTAATGATAGGGATTTTTGTTTTTCCATTTTTGTCCTGTATCATATGTTTACAGAGCTGTGATGCATCTCTTCCTTACAGCATGGTTCAGGTCATACTTTATTTCCCTTATCTTAAAATGACCATAATAAGCCTTTTTTTAGCTTATTTTTATGTATGTTTGCCATCCTTTAATAGAAAACTTTAATAGAGCTTGCTGAGACCCTTTTGCTTCACACGGAAACCATTATATGTCTAGAGTAATTAGCGCTGGAGATGTACTGCTTTTCTGATTACTTGTTTTTCTGTAATAATACATTTTTTTTTTATACCACATTGTTTTAAAGTTTCTGAACCTTAATCTTTACTGCACTAAAACCGGAATGGATCTTTGATAATGTTAGTTCAGTATCTTTTACAGAGATCTTTAGCTGAAATCAAAGAATTGGGCTAATTTGAATTATAGACAGTACTTTGACATTAATTTCCTGAGTTATGTGTTGGACAAGTCATGTAACGTCTTACTGGTTTTACCTGCTATATCCTTCTCTATGTGTTGCATTTGGATTAGGCATTAGTAAAGAATGGAAAGATGCTTAACATCACAAAATGAGAAATACTAAGTGTTATATATTACTGTTGCACATGACACTGTGTATGGTCTGTTTCTTTTGCACATAGATGGCATCTGGTGATGGTAATGAGTGTTGGACGTGGGACAAATTTAAAACTGTTTTCCCATCACTTGTCTGAGCTCTGTGCCCAGCTCCTCCCTTCCACTCCTGCAAATGACAACAGTCACTGTAGTGTTGATGTAGCTGCAAAACACCTAGACTTTTTTGCAGACTTATTGCTGTTACTGTTAGACTGGAAAAAGGATAGTAAGTTTTGAGAGGAGAGAGCCTGGGCAGAGAGTGGGGTCATAAGAAACAAGCATACCAGTAATGCTAATAAAGACTCCTCTGTAAGGGGGAGAGAGAAATTTAAAGGAGAGGGAGAAAAGAGGCTGTGAGTATGAAGAGTAGAAAGATGAGTCGAAGAAAAATGAGACATGAGGAGAGGGAGCTTTTTAAAGAGGTGAGGCATTTTCATTCCATTTCAATGATAGCTAATTCTCATACTGTGTGTCAACCTTCATCACCTTTTATCATCTCTACTGTTAATATTAATTTATCATGATAATCTATTGTGTCTTTTTAATGTCATGCTCTATTAAAAATTCCCAACCTCAGCCATTATCTTACCACTTTCTCCTTATTCATCTCAAAAAAATAAAGGTGGGTGGTTGTTGTTGTGGTGGTTGTTGTTATTAATTATTATTATTATTGTTATTATTATTAGACACCAAATAGCACCAGTTCGCATATGTAGTGGGTATTCATGTATATCAGAAGTCTGATGCCAGTAAAAAATGAGGTGTTCTGTTTTCTGTTTTGCATTACACCATTGTTAGTTGTAGCTGCATCAGACAAAGTGAAGCAGATCCAGTGTGCTGCAGTGTTGTAAAATATGTTGCTCTCCATTGGAGCTTTTGAAAAAGCTTTTCCAGTTTTTGCTAATTGTGTATGGTCTGGTTTCAATATGCAAAAAGATTGCAGAATCTTCTTTCCAACCTCTATTAGATACTATTGGGAGGCTGAGTTTTGCCACCGGGAAGGCAGAAATTTAGGATCACTATTTTCATCTCCTTTTTCCAGGTGTCCAACTGCCAAAGGAAGATGAGATTTCAGTACCTGTGACTTCAAGCTCCCCAGTTAAGGACAGTGGGGAGAATGCTGATCTTGCCATTGAACAGGAAGAGAAGATGAAAGAGGAACCTTTAACCATCTCAGAACTGGTATACAATCCTAGTGCCAGCTTGCTGCCCACCCCTGTTGATGATGAGATTGACATGCTCTTTGATACCTGTCCAAGAGTAGAGAATGAGAAAGATGATACAGATTCATTTGAGGAACTGGAAGCAGATGAAAATGCATTTTTGATTGCAGAGGAGGAAGAACTGAAAGAAGCTCGGAGAGCACTTAGGTGGAGCTATGACTTTCTAATGGGCAACATAGAGGTGAATGCCTTTGTGAAGAGTTTCTCCAGACTTCTACTTGTGGGCCTTGGACTGTTGCTGTTTGTGTTCCCTCTTCTCCTTGTTCTCTTGGAGTCGGACCTGCAAATCTCTTTTCTCCATGAAATCCGTCAGACGCCGGAGTTTCAGCAGTTTCATATTGAATATTACTGCCCTCTTAGGCAGTGGGTGGCTTGCAAAATAAACTTCATTCGTGACATGCTGGGCAGCTTTTAAATTTTAAATAAATATGATACAACTAAGGGCTATATTCAAAATTTCAGTTAGTGCCAGCTTTCCATAATGCCCCTGGGGTCATCAGTTGGTAGCTGTCTTCATACCCAGTTCATTACAGACTCTTCAGATTCTTAAGTCCCCTTCACATACTTAAATTGCCCCTTTAGTTACAGACTTATACAGTCACCTTACTGTAATCAAAAAGAAGCTTTATTTTAATTGCATTTCAGATGTCCTGCTCATCTATTTCATCATAAGAGATGGGGTCACAATAAGTTTCATTGTCCTTAACTTTTCAATCCATGACACTAAATCCAATGAAACTGAAAGAAAAACTCTTGAATATACTCCTTAGTGCAGCAATCTCTTCTAACCAATGCCTATACAAGCAATGTTTATGCTGGGTTTTTGTTTTTGGTTTGTTTTTCTGTTTGTTTGGTTTTCTACATTTTTATGTGTTTAAAATATTTTGGTAAATTTTTAGCAAAAGACAACTTCTGATGTTATTTAAATGTACAAATTGGTAAGAGTAATGCACAAGGGCATGTAGGGTGTTTTTAGTGTTTTAGCAATGATTTGTTTTTAAACTACTGGCTGGAGAATGAATGACTTTAATATAGCTCTATACAGAGGGACTGTGGTTTGGGAAATATATAGAAAGTTCACTCAAGTTCAGTAGGGGCTGCCTGGGGAAGGCGAAAGGACACCAAATACGCAAATGAATTTCTGAAAGGCACAGTTGGAAAGCTTGGGGAAGTGAGCAGACCTGAAAGTAATGATCCGTCCTCTTACCTGTCAGGTTTTCTTACACCTTATCAGTGCTGTAGGAAGTCTCTACAAGATAGTCCAAGTATGTTTTGGAAGACAGTGATTCTTCAGTCTAAATGTAGATTATTGTACATAACATGGAAGAAGATAATAGAGATAATAGTAAGTAGCAAAAAAAAAAAAAAAAACCCAACAAAAAACCCCCCCAAAACCCTAAATAAATCAGTAGGTGAGTGACCTACTTTGAAAAATTATAAAGAAAAATGTATTCCTTTTTAAAAGCAAAGCATTAGGCTGTACAGTTGATATAAAGGTATTCTATGGACTCACAGTTAAAGGCTTAAACACTTTAAGAGATCCATCTTCATCCTTGATGCCCATTATTACTAATCTCTAAGACATATTTTCTGTGTGTATTAATATGCTTCCTTTCACATATAGCAGCATATTTACACTCTTTAAAAAAGTTATTACAAGCCCAGTTACATGACCTAATGCTGTTTCATGTAACATGGATTTGTGTATCTAAAGGTATTCCAATATAGCTTAAAGAATATACTTAAGTAAAATCTTGTCAATGCTGAGAACATTTGAAAGCCCTCAAATGTACCACAGAGCTTGTAATTAAGAGGAGAAAGTTTTTATTCTCCCCCTGCCCCCTGATCTTAGTGCAGACATATTTCGTATTGAAACTAGGGAACTCTGATTTTGGCCTCAAAGTCTTTCTCCTGCATAGAGATTTATGAACTGGAGACATATTTAAGGATGGTTTATTAGATGTGCATTTAACACATTATAACCACATCTCTAATTTCTACTGAATAAATGCCTTCAGTTTTGATATCAGAGAATCAGTTTTGCTTGGTTTTGTCATGGAAGCCTTTGCAAATGTCTAGTTTGAAAATGGCAGTTTCCTTAGAGGATTTCTCCTTCCTTCTAATCTTCCTAAGTTTTTAAAGGGCAAAACAGTTACAGGGCTTAGGAGTTCCTTTTCTCAGTTCAAAGGTTTTTGATTGCTATTAATTTCCCAACCAACAAAGGCTAAATTAAACAATGGCCTTTTTTCTCTTGTCTTTGTTTATCCTTGCCAATCTGTTCCCCAGAAGAATCATTATTGATTAGTTACTTGATGTGTATTTCTTCTTGTGCTACTTGCAGCTACATGATCCTTTCCCATGAGGTAATAATCATTCAGCCTAATAGAAATGGAGAGTGAACTAAAGTAGATATTTGACCTTAATGGGAAATTATTCACTTGTATTGTTGCTAAACAAAGGTGTTGGAAAAGGTGTTTCGAGTGGTGAAGGCTGTGAGAGCTGGCATCCTGCTGGACTATGAAGACATGGTTCCATACAGGCTCCTATATAAGTCTGATAATTATTTTTAAAAAAAAAGTTAGATCCTATGCTCAAAAATATAGTTTTGTCCCTGTAAATTACAGCACTCCAGAAGTAGGAGTATTGTTATGCTTGATTTAACTCTATCAGAAAATAGCTGAGTCACATGAGATCATAATCTCAGAAAACGTGCAGTGCAGTGAGGTTTTATGTAGGGTTAAATGCAAGTGTGTGTGTGCACATGTGCCTGCCTTTACTAACCATGTGCATACATTCAGGCCTGGCCTTTTAAAATTCTTCCCTTCTTTCCTGATAATCTCTGATGTATCAAAGTAATTTAACTGGAAGTCTTGAGAGTCCTATAACTTAAAGGCCAGGACCACGTAATACACACAGAAGGATATGGTTGGGCATATTCAGAGGGAGTAGCAGTGTAGTATTTTATTGGTGAGGATGACAGACTTGGATTATGGAGCATCTATAGGTACAGTATTGTGTATTTCTGTCTGTGCTTGGATTATATTGTAAAATGTTATGTACTTGAAATCTATTTTGTGGTTTGTCTTAACATTTATAAACACAACTCTGGGAAGAATTAAAAATGGTTTTATTTCATGGAGACTAAGGGGAAAATATACCTGTAACTCGAGCCTTATCTTTGTACAGTGAATTCACATTTCTATATGTCAACATCCTGATTGTTTTGTATGTTGATATGATGGCAGGAATCCCTAATAAAAATACACTGGAGAAAAGCTTGCTGCAGTTATGACAGTTCTTATGGTGAAAGATGTTTTGTAAATAATAGTTTTTGTTGAGAATTTGTCAGTACCTGATATAGTACATATTTCTTAGGACTCTTACAATTTTTTTTACATACTTTTTTTTATTCATCAGCTGGAGGCACACTAAGAAATTGCTTTAAAATCAGATGTTATTAACATGGCTTCAGATGCACTAACCAGGGGCCTAATCGTTTGCCCAGTTACCATGTAAGAGTTAGTCACAGTCTTGAATTTGCCCTGAAATAAAGTTCCTACACACAGAATACAAATTGAGAAGTCTAGTTTTAAAGTCAGGCCCTGAGTGTAGACATATAGCTGCAACCTTTTCGTAGGCAGATCTGGCTAAAGTGTTATGCAAGCAAAGCTGTGCAGCTTTTGGATGGAGCTTGTTTAACATTAAGTTGGTTTGGAGCTCAGACAGTGCAAAAGCATCTGATAAGTAACATACATTCTGCAAAGAGGCAATTGAACATCATTTTGGGGAGCTAAGTCAGAGAAACCAAGGGTTCTTCTACAGCATATAAAACATTTAGATGCAGACTTGTCTGTACTGTATAGAAAGTGCCAAAATCTAAATGGGCTCTGGCGGTTTGAAATGTAAAGGGCCAGGACTATATAGTACAGGTAGACCTATTCATTCAGTTAAAGCAATGTAGGTTATAATACTGCCTTCAAAAGAGGTTGCATTCCTTCCTTAACATAAAAATACAGCATATCCTCCTCCACATTGTTCGTATTCTAAGTACTTACCACAATTTATGAAAATAGTATGCGTACTTTGGGTAGAAATTCAGCATTTATCATAAATTCTTTCTGAATAATGACACACAAAATTTCTCTAAGATTACAACTCACTGAAATGTCATGCCAAATATGCATTTGAAGAAATCAGGCTGCATTAATTGGTGCTAATGGTTGCTGTAGGTAACTGGCCGGGTTGGCCAAACTGGAGATCACAAGCACTGGAATGCAAGAAACTTAATCTGGAAGTCAAGGTATGTTTCTCAGCTTTTTGTTTTGTTTTGTTGGTTTTTGTTTAAATCCCAAAGGAAGTAATTGTCTCTTCTGTTTTTATGGATTCGCTGTGGGTTTTCAGGTTTTTTACAGCAATGTGGAAAATGGTCTCTGAGACACCTTGTGAAGATCTCTACCATTACAGCTGTTAAATGCCATGCCACAAGACTTTGATCCCATAGTCTTATGTCTTTCATTCTGCCCCTCTACAAAGGTGAATTCTTCATCAGCCTTATCATCAGAAATCTGTAGGAGCTGCTCTAACGTTTTGAAGCTGTCTTGCTTGCAGTTGCTTTCTTTTAAGGCAGGTTATTGCTGTTCATCTCAGCCAGATGAACTCCCTGCAGGAATTCCATCTTACACTGTTAGAAAGGTTGACAGCTTGCCCTTTAGGTGTCTTGTAGCTCACTCCTAGAAAACTTGGGCACTATCTGTGCCTATGAAGTGATGCTTAATGATGTAGTGGGAATTTAAAGCAGTGGCATAACTTTTATCATGAAAGCTTTCCTGCTATAACCGACAACAGCTCAGTGCTTCTCCATTACAATGAAGAATATAAGACATTAATTTCTACTTAATTTCTACTTCACAATCATGTAGTACAAAAATGGTTACAAAAAATAAAAATGAAACATGAGCATGAAAAGTTACCATCTCTTTTTATTTCATTCTGACTTTTCCCATGTTAGCTTGCTTTTAATTTCAATGCAGATATGTTTGGTGAGCTCACGTATGGCAGATACTTCAGAGAAGCAAAGTGGCCCCTAGAATCTTCATCAGAGCTCTGATAAAAAAATACCACCTACTCTTTGCTAGTCACAAAAGATGAAGAGAACATAATTGGTTTAAATGGACTAGAAATTGAGGTGAAATAGGTTACATTTCTTTGATTGGAGAATAATTAACTATATTGATAGAATAAGGCATGTATTACTGGAAAGAGCTGTAGACATTTCCTAATCCCCTCTTCCTCTTCCATCTCTCATGTGCAAATTTAATACAGACCCTGGGCCTCCGAAACATTGCACTGAACTTCAGCATAGCCCACAGCTCTGTATACACTCTCTGTCCCCAGCACATTCTCCATCGCCAGCTCCCTGCTGCTTCTCTTACCCCAGCAAAGGCCTTTGCAGCCCCCTGAACACCCAGCACCAGAAACACTTTGAGATCAGGCGGAGCCTGATCTGCCTCCACAGCGATGGCTGCGCTTCGTAAAATGCACACGCAGACCCTTTCTGCTGATGCGCCATGGGGGCTGCAGAGATGTGCTAGGGCCAGGGCGGCAGCTGGGGCTTGCCAGGCACGTGAGCCCATGGCTACAGCCTCACCCTCCAGCCCCACGCATCGGCTGCGTGCACCTGGGACTGCAACGGCCAGCTTTAAGCTGCTTGTGAACCGCGTTTTGGCCATCCTGGCTTATAGGGAAGTGCCGCTGCAGCAGTGTTTGGCAATAACAGGGCAGGCTAAATCTTTGGTAATGTATTAAAAAGGGTATTTCCTTTTAATTCTTCTGGTTATTTACAAAAAGTGCGGCTTTTACACTGAAAGGGCTGTTTCTGAATGCATTCTGGTAACATTAAAGTGAGAGACAGTTCTCAGTTTCTTTCCCATCCTTTTTAATTCAGTACTGCGTTGACTCATAATTCTCCTGAGCTGTAAAACATGTACAACTGATTCCTGTATATTGTGTTATGAACAGGGTTTTTTTGCAACTTGCATTGCAGCACTCACTGTCCTTACATATTTGCTAAAAATCTAAAATTATACCAAATTATACTATTATCCAGCACTCTCAGGACCTTTATAAAGTACGATAGCATCTGTTTCAAAGACTTTGGCTCTGTGGGTGTCTCTACTCTCCTGCCTGTGAATAACACCTCTGAATTTATGGTTGTACTTTGCATATTGACTTCTGGAGTTATCAGGACTCCCTTGGCAGGACACCGAGAAGGGCATTTAGCAAAAAGCAATCAGCAGAGTTCTGAAATCACAAGTTATTCCCCTGCCAAAGGCTGGATCTATTA